ATGGACTTCTTACCCAGGTAATTGTTGCTCTTGGACATCTCTGTGATGTTGATTTTGGTGGCCCCTTCTGGAATTTCTACTATTTTGTGGTAGCCAAGGTTGGTCAGGCTGTGCTTGAAGACTCCTGAGATCACCCTGCAAGCTGTGTTGTCCCCTCCACAGATTCCACATTTGTCCACCACCTTATCGGAACCCAGGTAGTCATCACAGCCAATACTCTGTCACGGGAAAGGAAACAGAGAATCAAGTGGTCAATTCGCTGTATATGGAATGCATTAGAACTGGTTTTAAGAAAGTACAGTGAAACTCAGTGTAGACCCATCACCAGCTTGGAATATGTTTCTATTTCTGCATTTCAGAAGTTACTGTAGATCGGTGTTTCTCAAAGTGTGGTCTGAGGACCTCTGAGGGCCTTCCAAGCATGAAATCAAAATTATTTGCCAGCCTATGTTGAAATAAAAATCCCATCCAACATTTGCGAGAAGCAGTAATGGCAGCGAATGTGTCAATTTAAATTTTTAATATGATAAGTACTGTTAAATTTAAGAAGCATCATGATATGGAGGCATCTTTTCACTGCCTCACTATGGACCTCCAAAAAGGTTGGCTGCTCTATAAGCATTTAAAGATGTAGCCAATCTCAGCATCAGGTAGTCACAACTAGGATAAAGAGAAGCCCTTCCCACACTTACAATGCTCATCTCAGGAGATGTGCAAACATTAGAAACTACTCTACAGATCAAAGAAATCACAGTGCAGACAAAGGGAACAATGTCTCTGCTTCCAAATCCCAATATCTTCCCCATTCTCTGCGGGGCGTTGGGAAACTGGAGTTAACATATTGGGGGTTGGAGATGCTGTCATGCTTTGTCTCAATGGTTCTTTGGTTTGAGCTTTCATTTTGTTTATATTGTTGTTTTAATTTAGTATTATAGTACTTAACATTATATTTTGTAAACTGCCCAGAGTCCACTGGAGAGGGTAGCTATGTTAAATCTGTCAAGTCAAGTCAAGTCAAGTCTAGTCTAGTCTAGTCTAGTCTAGTCTAGTCTGGTCTGGTCTGCTCTGGTCTGCTCTGGTCTGCTCTGGTCTGCTCTGGTCTATTCTATTCTATTCTATTCTATTCTATTCTAGTCTAGTCTAGTCTAGTCTAGTAAAGTAAAGTAATGCAACTCAACACAATACAATATATCACAACACAATGCAATACAATAGTGCTTTTGTTAATGATTCCTTTGCTTGAAAGTTCTTTAGAAAGTCCTTCCTGATGGAATCCAAATTACAACTGGGGCAATTTACTCCCCAAACCAAGGCAGACTTTGTTCCCTCCTCCTTCTCAAAGCAATGGAATTCACTAAGTTGTCATCACTTCTTTTGAAAGTAGCTTCTGGGTTCTATTGAAAAAATAATAAATATGACAACCCATTTGGCCAGACGTGGATACACAGTAGAAACTCTTTATTCTGCTGCCTTACTAGGAGCTTTCTCTTCCAATGGCCTGAAGTAGATATTTAGAACTCTGATGAGTTATGGCAGATTGGGCCAGACACCTGTAATTGGTCCAAAACTGAATATTGCTGGACTTGGACCTTTGGCCAAAACAATTTTAGGGGTGAAGAATAAAGCAATTTTTTCTGGCAGGTTGATTTTTTTTTTATGCCTGTTGGCTTTAAAGGCAGCTGCTGCAAGAGGCTCAGCACTTAGGAATGTTTCTGAAAATGGAGAAAAAGATCAGCCTACACCACAATGGAGAAGCCGAGTTCTTGATGGATGACAGAATGGGTTGCGCAGGGCCCTGTTTTCCTCCATTTTTCATGGGGATATATTGTGACCAGATGATATGATAGGAGCAGGACAGGAAGAAGGCAGGGGGGGAAAGGATGCAGGCCAAGATGGAAAGAGGTTAAAGGAGATGATTTTCCATCAAGGGCTTGGAAGAGATTAAAGCCTCTCTTTTTTTTGCAAGGTATTATCTTTCAAGCTGGATCTTCTCTTCCAGCTGGGAGAAGACTTCAAAGGAGTCAATTGCATCACTTTCCTTCCAAACAAAAGACTCCTCTTTCAGATTAGTACCTTCTTGGTATCTAGAAATAACCGAATAACAGAGTTGGAAGGAACCTTGAAGATCTTCTAGGCCAACCCTCTGCCCAAGCAGGAGACCCAGTGGTGGGATCCAGCCGGTTCGCACCACTTCGGCAGAACCGGTAGCTAATTTTTTGTTGCCCAGGCCCAGAATGGACTTCCGGAAGCAGCATCCACACAGAGAACCGGTTGTTCACATATTTGAATCCCGCCACTGAGGAGACCCTATACCATTCCAGACAAATGGTTGTCCAGTCTCTTCTTGAAAACCTCCCGGGATGGAGCACCCACAACTTCTGGAGGCAAGCGGTTCCACTGCTTAATTGTTCTGTCAGGAAATTTCTCCTTATTTCTCGGTTTAGAACTAAATTTCAGTAGATCTAGGTTTAAGGACTCATAAAGCAACTTCATTAGGAGCTTCTCACCAGGTACAAGACTCTCCAACTATGAGTGGGGAAATGCTTCCAAAACCTGAAAGGTCACTACAATCCATCCTACTTAATGCAAGGCTAGAAAAATGAAAGGTTCTGTAATTATAAGAGAAGATGCTGTTTGGCCCCGAGAATTTAGTAGTATGGAAAAAGAATGGAAGAGACCTCTCAGAACTAGCCAGACACCTATCTAGCCAACATCATATTTATTTATTTGTATCCTGCCTTTATTATTCTTACAGATAACTCAAGGCAGTGAACATATCCAATACACCTTCCTCCTTCTCCTCCTATTTTACTCACAACAACCCATGAGGTGAGTTGGGTTGAAAGAGAGTGACTGGTTCAGAGTCACCCAGCCAGCTTTCATGGCGAAGGCGGGACTAGAACTCACCATCTCCTGGTGATTTGCCCAAAGTCACCCAGCTGGCTTTCATGCCTAAGGTGGGACGAGAATTCACCGTCTCCTGGTGATTGGCCCAAAATCACCCAGCCGGCTTTCATGGCGAAGGCGGGACTAGAACTCCCCATCTCCTGGTGACTGGCCCAAAGTCACCCAGCTGGCTTTCAGGCCTAAGGCAGGACTAGAACTCCCCATCTCCTGGTTTCTAGTGTGGTGATTTAACCACTAGACCAAACTGGCTCATCATATTAATGCAAAGTTCTAATATTCAAAGTCCTATGACAATCTTATGCAAGTCATTTGACAAGAATATGAAATGGATACATTGGAGAACAGATTCCCACCCCATGCCATAAAAAAAGGAATCCTCTCCAGGGATTGGAGGGGGCACACCAAGGACACAAACCCATTTTAGTTTGGTCTAGGAGATCCCTGTGTTTTGTTTCCCACACGGAAATTCAACGAACAATGAACAAATGGGATTTCTTGCATCAGGAGAAACCCTTGAATTCTAAATTAATTTCAGAAAGTTATGCAGGTTCAATTAATCTTGGTTTAACCCCTTCTGTCTTTTTGTTTTTCTGTTCCACAGGCCCATGTGTCGTGTTTATATGTTGACTTTTGAAGGAAAGACCTCCAGGAGGTCAAACGAAATGGGAAAGGAGCGAGTTGAGGTTGAAGATTGGCTCAACTTTCGCTAATTAATCTGAAAAAGAAAATAATAATAACACCAACTCTTTGGGGGCACTTTTTGTATTTGCTCATTCAAGTGATTCCAGAAAAACTCTGGGCATCCTTGGAAACTCATTAGGGACTTCCGCGTGAGGCTAGCAGTTGTGCACAAGCTGCCTCCCCAATCAACGAGGGGGCTGTTCGCCCTTGGCGAAGTCCATGGATGGAAGAAAAATTAATCCCCCTGGAATTTGTGCACCAAGATGCCTGTTCTGCGCCTCCCCGAGCAAAAATGAAAATTCAGAATGAATTTTCCAGACCAAGAAGAGCAGGCTTTCACTTATGTTGGATAGAGACAGAGATCTGAATACAGAATAACAGACTTGGAAGGGACCTTGAAGATCTTGTAGTCCAACCCCTTGCTCAGGCAGGAAGCCCTATACCATTTCAGACAAATGGTGGTCCAATTCCCCTCCCCTCATCTTTGTGGCAGCCCCTTAAATGTTGGAACACTGCTATCCTGTCTTCCCTAGTCTTTTTTTTTCATCTTCATCACAGATCAGAAGCCACATGCGGGCAGGAGAAAAAGAGATTCAGAGTGGGATCACATCTGGAGAACAAGAAAATTTGCTTTTCTGTGTTCCCCCCCCCCCCTTTATTCCTGGCTATTAAATCACTCTTCGGAAAGCCAAGCTGCAGACAGTTACATAAAGAGCAAAAATGTCCTTCCACTGAGTTTAAAAACATGACTTATATAACTTGGAACATTTGATCTCCTCATTTCCTATGGAGCCTCCACGGCTGGCATTTTGTACCGATTCCGCAAGAGACAGGTTGCATTGTGAGGTTCTTAGAGCAAGGAAGACCATTTCCAGCCTTTAAATGGGAACCAGAAAATTTTGTAACCACAATGGCAAAGAACATATTGCTGCATGCTGGTAAACAGCAAAGACCCACTGGGTTCGCACCACTAGGATAAGCCACGATTCAACAACGGTTTATGGCTTTGTGGTCTGAGGCTTTTACGATTGTTGTGAGCTGCCCCGAGTTGCGTTTTAAGATGGGCAGCCTGACAAAACTTTTAAACAAATAAATGAACCGCGGAAAGGGTAAGCCAAAAATAATGATGAGCAAATACGTTGGGTTTATTAGGCTATTATACCCTAAACTAATCCAGATTTAGGACATATTGACAGTGGACTGTAAAGTCCCATGGATGGATGACTTTGCGGTGCCAAAACTTTATTGGGTGGAACATAAGAAAGAGACAACTCCTCACTCTTTACACTTTAAGGCATAAATAATCTGCAGTGAATCATCTTGAATTGCACATTCCCCCCCCTTTAACCAACACATCTTCCTGGAACAAAGTAAGGGCTACAAAGTCGAACACTCGTTGCCAAAAACCCCAGCACACATCAGACGTTGGTTGGTCCGTTCGTTGGCTGTGAGCTACGTTCCCACAAACCCATTTTAAGAGATGCACGACTCCTCTCCCGGGACAGCCGTATTTCAATTCTTCAAAGAAGCAGGGAGGCTCACCAAGAGTTGGGGAAAGACACACGTTTTTTGGGGGGGGGCTTTTTTGCAGTTCCTCCGAGATTCTGCCTATTAGCTTTTGCTTTCAATC